GTAGCAGCTAAACTAAGGCTGGGGTGAAAAGGGAGGAGCAGGACGCTTAGAAGAAGTGAGGCTAGGGACGAAACGAGAGGCAGTGGTGGGGCAGCACTGACAACAGGATGGGCGTACGTACAGGATGGACACCAGTGGTGTGTGGAGGTGGCAGGTGATACAGACGGCAGCCGCGAGGTCCCCGAATGGTAGCAAGGCACTTCTCAGCAGACAGACTGACAAGGTTGTGACCGGGGGCTGAACGGAAAGAGAAACGCTGTGAGAAAAAGCAACGCCAAAATTGTTTTTTGAACACACGGAAAAACTGCGAAGTAGCAGCGCCACACGGAAAAGATGTACTCTTGACACTAGGCAAAGGTGGCAACTGACAAGGAAGAAACTGGAAGAAGCGGAGAATTAAAAAGTTGTTGGCTTGACTGAGGAAGAGCAAAGAGGAAGAAGACGGTAGCGGAAACGAGGATGAGCCAGAGAGCACATGAGGGGGCACGCCGCTTCATGCATGGCACGCGCTTCACCCATCATATATTCTCCACGCACGCCCATCCCATCCCGTTGCACCGCACACCCCAGCCATGCATTCGCGTTGCACGAATAACTCATCTGTTACTACCCATGCACCTTCGCAGCTCTCCGTCTCGCCATCGCACGCTCACGGACGGGCAAAGACCACCACTGCACAGCGATGCACCATTCGCCAGCCCCTCGTCGACGCTCGGCGTCGCCATCGCACGCTCGCGGGCGGGCAGAACACCACCGCACCGCGCTGCACCATTCGCCAGCTCCTCGTTGACGTTCGGCGTCGCCATCGCACGCCACGGTCGGGTAGAGAACACCACTGCACGGCGCTGCATGCGAGAACTCCCAGCTGTGCGATTCAAGGCTTGGCGAATACTCTAGTAACACCTTCAGCCCTTCGCCTCACCCTGGCGTCGATCGCCGATACTCAGGCGCGCCGTGCTTGAAGGTTGCCAATCAGTGATTGGACATTGGATTCTCGAAGCTTCTCGTGGCGACATCGCCACAGGCAATACGCGTTCGCGGGGTGGTGGGAGGGTGACTCATGCAAACTGGATCCAGTCGCAGTGCTCGATGAACTGACATGCATTCTTCTTCGCGGCACGTGAAAACTGAGGGCTGTCCAATGCTCACGGCTTGCTGAGACAGATCGCTCTTGGGGGAAGAGACCTAACGACGAAATTCTAATTTACGTACGTTATCTGCAAAAAGCGGAGATGTTTCTGTCGAGGACGACGTTGGTGCTCTGTGGTGTCGGCTGAACCTCGAGCCCACAGCTTCTCAATAGGTTTCTTAGCTGTTACTATTCCGCTGTTCGCAAAACATCGATTTCACTCGCGAAATGAGTTGCGCCGTGGAATTTGTGTCGAGAAGGAATTTGCAAATCCATGTTACCTTCGCTAAGGCTGTCGCAGTCAAGAACATCCACGTGTTTGATGTCTTTGTGGCTCTGGTTACCAACCAAGACCATTTTCGAAACGCAGCATATTCTCGACCAAGACCATTTCAAGACAATTCGCCGTGCGAAAGTTATTCATCCTCACTTGCAATGTTCAAGCTCACCATGTTGGACCTTGCGGAAGCACTACCAATTTGAGGCTCAGCATTGCTACTTTAGCGCATATTCATTCGCGTAGCGTGGTATCAGTTTCCCAGCTGAAATTCCTCCTCTCCCTTTTCATCTTCTGCTCGTTCCGTGTCATCTCATTTTTTTTCGAGTGAGATTCACAGCCACGCGGCATTTTCAGATCGTTTGGCGGCGTGTCCATCTCCAAATGAGCTCAAATCCAAGTGTTTGCGCCTCCTAGCACGACGTTTGAATTGCGAAACCCTAGAACCAAGCCTGAGGTAATGCTGGTCCGCTAGCCGCCATTCTCTCAGACAATTTTCGCATTTAGCAGCTTAGCAGCGCCTTCGCTTTCTCCTGACAGGCCACGTGTAAACACTCTCATCACATCATCGGGTACGATTACTCTGCAAAGTCGCGCATGCGAGAAACAGGCGCATTCACATGAGCATATCCATCAGCCTCACCTTCCGCTCCTTCCGTGGAGCATAAACTGCGCCTTGCGTGAGTGCCTTGACGCATCGTCCTTTGTTCATACCATCGTCCTGCTCCACTTCTCTCACCATTGTTGCTACTTTCCCTCAAACCCTCTCACTCCTTCTCTTAATCCCGCTCACTTTCTCGTCGCTCTGCTACCTTTCTCACGTTCAGCCCTTTTGTCTTGTTACACCTTTGATTTCCGGCATGCGTTGCTTTCGTTCTGCTCTCTCTGAGGCTCTCTCTTTTATCTCTTTTGGTTCGTCTGTCTGCTTTGCCCATCACCTCCATTACTTCTCTCCCTGCTCCCTCTGCATTCCGTGCAACGACCTACTCCCTGCCGCCTCTTGGTTGTTTTCTTGCGTTTGTACGGTATTAAATCATATACTGCATTGAGTTTTTTTTTCTCCTTTTCTCATTCCCTTTCTTGTTTTTAATTGATCACCTCGGCTGCCTGTTCTTGAATAATATACAGCAGTAATGATTGCTCCATCCCCCTCCCTCCCCCCCCCCTCCCCCCCCCCGACCATTGTTTGTTGAGCTTGCTTAACTTGGTGTGTCTCACATATGCACAACACGACTATTGCTTGCAACTACTTAGCACTCATTCTGACCTTCCTTTTGTTGTTTTCTGTCCAATATCCTTTCCCAACCATCCATGTTTCTCGCCCATATCGCCCTATTCCTTCCACTGCAGCTGAAGTACCTAAAGTTATTTGAGCGCAAAACATTATTTTTCTTCTAAGGGAGGGAGGCGAGAGATGGAGGAGGTGTCTGAAGCAATAGAGGTGGTGAATGCAGTGAAGACAACAAGGGCAGAATTGGTGTCTACTAAGTGGAACTGGAACCGATTCATGAAAATCTGGCCTCGACTGAAGAAGAGATTGCAACGACTAAACAAGATCTGGCATCATCTAAAGGGGTGCTGGCAGCAATAAAAGATGGACTTCCGAAATTAATGTGTTGATTATTGCAGCTGTAAGTGCTGGTCACGATTTGGCACAGTTCCTTAGTGGTTGGTTGTAGCAGGTTTGTTGGCTGTTCCGATATCGTATTAGGGTCCTTTCTGAATCACCTCCGCCTCCCTCAGTCCCTTCCCTCTCATGCGTGCCCCTCACTCATACCTGCCCCTCACTCATACCTGCCCCTCACTCATACCTGCCCCTCACTCATACCTGCCCCTCGCTCATACCTGCCCCTCACTCATACCTGCCCTTCACTCATACCTGCCCCTCACTCATACCTGCTCCTCACTCAAAACTCAAAACTCGCTTCCCTCAGCCCCTGCCCTCTCATGCATGTCCCTCACTCATGCTTGCCCTTCACTCAGTCGCAGCATAATCCTCTGGAACCTCTGGAGTCCCAGATGATACGAACTGGACGCCTTGCAGCAGCAGGAGAAGCTTTATGAGTCACTAGGGGGGTGGATGCTGTGGGTGAAGCATGGCAGTAGTAAGGAGGTGGAGTTGGCGATAGCTGCTGTCCATTGCAGCTGAAATCTAGGCTTCTTCTAGCGTACCAACAATGGGTTGGACCGTGGATGCTGTGGGTGAAGCGTGCAGCAGTAAGGAGGTGGAGATGGCGATAGCTTCTGTCTATTGCAGCTGAAAGCTAGATTTCTTCTGGCGTACCAACAATGGGGTGGACCGTGGATGCTGTGGGTGAAGCGTGGCAGCAGTAAGGAGGTGGAGATGGCGAAAGCTTCTGTCTATTGCAGCTGACTGAACGCTAGGATTCTTCTAGCGTAACAACAACCATGCATTCTGAAGCGGATCAGCACACTAATGGAGGGATCTGTGAAGACATACAGGCTTGGTTTACAGGAGAGGAGAGGAGAGGAATCTGTATGTAAGCATTGTGCAACAATGGTTTGGTTTACTTGAACTGGGAATCGTCATCTCCCACTTGCCTCCTGCATGGCAATGAATGGGCTAGGAATTACCATATGTCAGTGGGCAACAAAAACGAAGTCATTTCACAGTGACACCTCGGTTCGGTTAGGTTCTCAGAAGCACATACGGTAATTACCGTCATCATCGCCCGGATATAAGACATATATGTCTTATCTCGTACACGGGCAAAAATGCTTGAGTTATCTTGTAAACGGGATGGTTTAGGGTGTCTTATAAGTCTTATAAATGGAAACTTTTTAAACTACTTAGAAATATTTTCCGTACTTCTTGAAAAAGAGTTCCTCATAATGAGTGTGGATGTTGCGAAGGTGCCACTTCGGCAACCACTGCCCGGGACGCCACGTCATGGAGAACACCTACAAAGGCAAATTTGGTAGGTCCTCGGTTCAGCGCGTGGAAGAATTCGCGCTTCGCAAGGGTAAAAATGTACGCGTTATTTCAACTTTCGCTATAATATATTGAAGTTTCGATTATAAGACATATATGTCTTATCTCGTACACACAAATAGGTGTCTTATAATGAGGCTAGCCTGTTTATAAGAGACACCCGTATAGTAGACAACCCCTGTCTACTATTCAACACTGTCTTATATCCGGGCGTTTACGGTATAATAAGAAAAAACACACATACAACGTTTTACGCACAAGTTGCTGTAAGGCAACACAAGTGCCTGAACCACAGCACAATCACAACGCAGCACACAACATAAGTACAAAATCCGTACATTAAAACTACCGGAAAAAAAGGGGAAACTGAAAAGCACACCAGAGGCAGCATTGTCCATCACACCATACAACATATCCACTCCAACACAGATGCTAGGTCGCATGTGGTAGCAGAGTGTAATGTGCATTTCCAGGCGCATTGCACATTGACGGCCAGTGCATGCGTTCACATCACACGTTCTGCAATAGCTCCCTAGCTGTCGTTGCCACCAATGATGATGCAGTGGGTGAGGTGACTTTTGAGTTGACTGAAAAGTCACTTCATGGCCACTGCATGCGTTCACGCGTTCTGCAATAGCTCCCTAGCTGTCGTTGCCACCAACGATGCAGCGAGCGGAGAGATACGGGTAAGGGGCTTGCATAATTCTAGGCACGGGGAGGATAAGGCACGGGAAGGGCAAGGCACGGGAAGGGCAAGGCACGGGAAGAGCAAGGCACGGGAAGGGCAAGGCACGGGAAGAGCAAGGCACAAGGAGGGCAGCATGAGAGCAGTGAGAGTGAGAGCGAGTGTGAGGGTGAGTGTGTGAGAGTGATTGAGAGTGAGTGTGTGAGCAGCATCAAAGGCTCACCCCAGCGGGTCCCCCGTGACAGTGCTCAATGGAAGCAGTGAAAGTGAGAGTTGAGTGTGCGGGTGAGTGTGAGAGTGAAAGTGAGAGTTAAGTGTGCGAGTGAGTGAGCGAGTGAGTGTGCGGTGCTTTGATTCAAGCGCTCACCCGATCTCGTCCCGCATGACTGTGGCCACTGCCGCTCCGTTGCATATGGTTCCGCGAAAGAAGACAATCTTGTCGCACGCAGCCTCGCCATTCCGCTGCCACAATATTTCCACATTCAAGGTCCCGTCACCCACGTTTAGCATGTTGGCGGCACAGTTGCGCGGCGAGTTAAAGCCGAAACGCTGGCCGTTGATCGTCATCCGTCTGCCAACCACGCCCCTGTATGTAGACGTGCTCGCCTTCTGAGTAGCTGTTGTTGCGACCGTGAGAATGGGCACACGGCACTCGTGGGGTGGGAGTTTTGAGACGTTCCAAAAAGATGGGACAGCTACATTGGGGCTTACTTCAAGACTTTTGAGGCGCCTCAGAAGTGGGCTTACTTCATGAACTCTCTCTGAGTCTTGAGACATCTCTAAACAAAGGGAACAACTAGATTAGGGCTTACTGTATGAACTCTCCGAGTCTGATTTTGAGTCGACTCAAAAGCTGGGTATTGAGACGTCTTAAAACGACTAGATTGGGGCTTACAGTAGATTGGAAGATTGTCGTCGGTGGGAGGTGCATTGGTGTCGGTGGCAGGTGCATTGGTGTCGGTGGCAGGTGCATTGGTGTCGGTGGCAGGTGCATTGGTGTCGGTGGCAGGTGTATTGTTGTCGGTGGCAGGTGCATTGGTGTCAGTGGTGGGTGTGGTGTTGGCGCCACCGCTGATGCAGCGGGCGGACATAAAAGCTTTGCTGAGGGACTTAACTCTGGGCATGGGGAGGGCAAGGCAAGGAGAGGGCAAGGCAGGGGGGAGGGCAAGGCACGGGGGGAGGGTAAGGCACGGGGAGGGTAAGGCACGGGGAGGGTAAGACACGGGGAGGGTAAGGCACGGGGAGGGCAAGGCATGGGGAGGGCAAGGCGCGGGGAGGGTAAGGCACGGGGAGGGTAAGGCATGGGGAGGGTAAGGCACGGGGAGGGTAAGGCACGGGGAGGGTAAGGCATGGGGAGGGTAAGGCACGGGGAGGGTAAGACACGGGGAGGGTAAGGCACGGGGAGGGTAAGGCATGGGGAGGGCAAGGCGCGGGGAGGGTAAGGCACGGGGAGGGTAAGGCACGGGGAGGGTAAGGCATGGGGAGGGTAAGGCTTGGAGAGGGCAGCATAAGTGCAAGGTCGTTGGTCAGGTGGGGAATGAAGGAGCAGCATTGGGAGCATGGAAGCAGTGAGAGCGAGAATGAGAGTGAGGGTGAGACTGAGAGTGAGTGTGAGACTGAGTGTGAGAGAGAGTGTGTGAGCAGCATCAAACGCTCACCCCAGCTGGTCCGCTCAACAGTTCCCACTGCCCAATGGAAGCAGTGAGAGCGAGAGTTGAGGGTGAGAGTGAGCGTGCGAGTGAGTGTGCAAGTGAGTGTGCGGTGTTGAGATTCAAACGCTCACCCGAGCACGTCCTGCTCGACAGTTTCCAACGCCTTTCCGTTACAGCTGGGTCCGTGGAACAAGACAATCTTGTCGCACACAGCCTGCCCATTCTGCTGCCACAGCACCTCCACTTTCACGGTCCCGCCAACCAAGGTTGGGTTGGCCAGACCAGAGGCACAGCGGTGAGGCTTGTTGAAGCCGAAATATCGGCCGTTGATCTTCATCCGCGTGCCAATGAGGCCCTTGGATCCCGCCGCGCTCGCCGTGGTGGTACTAGCTGCTGTGACTGTGGGAATGGGGACACGTGGAGTGGGAGGTGCTTTTGAGTCGACTTAGAGGCCGTTGATCTTCATCCGCGTGCTAATGAGGCCCTTGCCTCCCGCCGCGCTTGCTGTGGGGGTACTAGCTGCTGCAACTGTGGGAATGGGGACACGTGGGGTGGGATATGCTTTTGAGTCGACTCAGAGGCCGTTGATCGTCATCCGTGTGCCAACCAGTCTCTTTGCTGCTGCTGCGCTCGCCGTGGGAGTAGCTGCTTCTGCGACTGTGGGAATGGGGGCACGTGGGGTGGGAGGCACTTTTGAGTCGACTCAGAGGCCGTTGATCGTCATCCGCGTGCCAACCAGTCTCTTTGCTGCTGCCGTGCTCGCCGTGGGAGTAGCTGCTGCTGTGACTGTGGGAACGGGGACACATGGGGTTGGGATATGCTTTTGAGTCCGACTTACAAGCAGCATCTGCACACCCGCGTGCCAACCAGACCCTTGCCTCCCGCTACCCTCGCCGTGGGGGTACTGGCTGCTGTGACTGTGGGAGTGGGGACACGTGGAGTGGGAGGTGCTTTTGAGTCGACTCAGAGGCCCTTGATCGGCATCCGCGTGCCAACCAGTCCCTTGGCTGCTGCCGCGCTTGCTGTGGGGGTACTAGCTGCTGCGACTGTGGGAGAGGGGACAGGTGGGGTGGGAGGCGCACGGAGGAGCGTGTGACTTTTGAGTCGACTCAAAAGCAGACTCCCGCGCTCGCTGTGGGAGTGACTGCTGCTGCGACTGTGGGAACGGGGACACGTGGGGTGGGAGGCGCACGGAGGGGGGCGGTGTGTGCGGCACTGGCGGGGCCATGATGATGCGAGAGAGTGAGTCTAGTTTGGGCCTTTGCCATTTTCAGTTGACTCAAAAGTGCAAGGTGCATTGAACATGAAGTAGGAACCGGGGGGACGAGGATGCGAGCAGAGGGGTGACATTTGAGTCGACTCCGAAAGTCACGTCGCGGTTGTGCGAGGTGCATTGAACACGTAGAAGTTAGTTAGTAAGGCATGACGAGGATGCTCGCGGCGGCGAGCACGGGAGGAGCACCTTGTAAGCGCCGCAACGAGGTGACTTTTAAGTCGACTCAAAAGCACAGGAGGATGATCTTGTAAGCGCCGCATGATGATCTTTTGAGACGCCTCAAGAGGTGCATTGAGCACATAGCAGCCAGGCATGACGGGGATGCTCGCGGCGAGGACGGGAGGAGGAGCATTGTGTAAGCACTACAACGAGGTGACTTTTAAGTCGACTCAAAAGCACAGGAGGATGATCTTGTAAGCGCCGCATGATGATTGCCGCGGCATCATCATGAGCACCGCCTTGCACGATGGCCGCATGATGCGCATCTTGTGATGCCGCGTTGACTTTTGAGTCGACTCAAAAGTCAACCCGCGTACTAGCGCCGATGTTTACTTTTGTCGGCGCCGATGAAGACTTTTGTCGGCGCGTGACGGCGCGTTGACTTTTGACGGCGCGTTGACTTCTGACGGCGCGTTGACTTCTGTCGGCGCGTTGACTTCTGTCGGCGCGTTGACTTCTGTCGGCGCGTTGACTTCTGTCGGCGCGTTGACTTCTGTCGGCGCGTTGACTTCTGTCGGCGCGTTGACTTCTGTCGGCGCGTTGACTTCTGTCGGCGCGTTGACTTCTGTCGGCGCGTTGACTTCTGTCGGCGCGTTGACTTCTGTCGGCGCGTTGACTTCTGTCGGCGCGTTGACTTTTGTCGGCGCGTACCAGCGCCGATGAACACCGCGGTGGCGAGAAGGGCAGCTGGCACGGCTGCGGTCTTGCGAGTTGGAATCGGGGACTCATCATCAATAACATGCATCATCATCATCATCATGCTGCTGCTGCTGCTGCCGCGCCAACAGCCGTGCAACAGACGTACCCGCGATAACGACCGCGATGGCGAGCAGAGAGGCCGTGGCGGCCTTGCGAGTCGGAGTCCCCGTCATCATCACCATGCTGCTGCTGCGCCAACAGCCGTGCAACTCACGCGCGCCTCTGGAGCGAAGGTACAAGCTCGACTCGAGCGGACGTTGTTGGCTCGTGGGACGTCACGTTACGTTGCTGGGCAATTACCGGTGGACGTTTGCGGACGTTTGCGGACGTTGCGGACGTTGCGGACGCGGCGGGAAAATCTGCTGAAACGTCACATTGCGGAAGCCGATGTGTTTTGTCACACAATGCGAGAAACGATTGACTCAAAAAAGGGAGGATACCAGTGGTACTAGGTCGAGAGAGAAACCGCGGGCGGTGGATGCTACTGGTAGTAAGAAACGAGGCGGTGAAGACGGTAATGGGGTACGGCCCGTACGGGTTCTTATATGGCCATCGCCACGCCACGCGAAGTGCGCTCGGCCCGGGGCCATCGCCCCGCCTCGCTCATCGCCTGACGACGCCGCGCATCCGCCGCGATCGCGGCGACGCAACGGGCCTAGGGTGACGCGCACAGCAATGATGAGCGACGGCGCACGACCAGCGAGGGCGCACGACCAGCGAGGGCGCACGGTGCCCGTGACGCAGCGGGCCTAGAGTGACGCGCACAGCAATGATGAGCGACGGCGCACGACCAGAGGGCGCACGGTGCCCGTGACGCAGCGGGTCTAGGGTGACGCGCACGGTGCCCCTGACGAGCGCGAGTGCGCGGGTGACGAGCTCGAGCGCAGCACGAAGAGCTCGAGCGCACGGTGCGCGTGACACAGTGAGAGAGCACGGCGAGCGAAAGCGCAAGCGAGAGCGCGCGGCGCCCGAGACGGAGCGGGTCTAGGGTGACGCGCACGGTGCCCATGACGAGCGCGAGAGCGCTCTCGCCGTGGCGGCTGCGGAAGTTGTCGGAGGGTCCGCGTTTCTAAGAAACGCGATCTGTTCAGGCAAAAATTGACTTCGACAGGGTCCCATAAAAAACATATAATTCCGCTCCGTTTCTGGGAGCACCGCCGACTGACAGCTCGCGAGCCTCTCCAACCGACTCGAGGTGAAGTAATGAAGCAACTGAGAGGGTACGGTATTGAAGGAGTTGGTGGGGTCAATAAAAACTTGACCACCGTACGGTAGGAACGCGCTGCAGGGCATTGTCAAATGTTGTAGCCTATAGTGAGGTTTGTCTTAGGGGGTACAAAACTTAGGGTTAGCTATATGTACCCCAACCAACATCAATGCATCATCCATTCTTCATTTTGACATGGTATCAGAGCGGTTAGGATCCTGTGGGATCTTGTTCCTCCGTTCTCCGTTCGAGCCTCCCGAGCCTGATCCTAGCTCTCATTCGTCCCGGTTCCGTTGTTACCGCGCGTAGTGCCGCGCCTAGCGCCACTCCTAGCGTCGCGTCCTGCCCGCCCTTTCCCCCTCGTCGCGTCCCTTTCCCCCCGTCGCGTCGCGCCCTTTCCCCCCAGTCGAGTCGCGCCCTTTTCCCCCCGTCGCGTCGCGCTCTTTCCCCCCGTCGCGTCGCGCCCTTTCCCCCCGTCGCGTCGCGCCCTTTCCCCCCGTCACGTCGCCCTGCCCCGTCCCGTCGCCCTGCCCCGTCGCGTCGCCCTGCCCCGTCGCGTCGCCCTTCCCCGTCCCGTCGCCCTGCCCCGTCGCGTCGCCCTTCCCCGTCCCGTCGCCCTGCCCCGTCGCGTCGCCCTGCCCCGTCGCGTCGCCCTGCCCCGTCGCATCGCGCCCGCCCTTTCCCCCGTCCCGTCGACCCTACGCCCTGGCCCGTCGCCCTAGCCCGTTCTTCCGCTGCGACTAAGTCCCCCCCCCCCCCCCCCACCTGAACCCTAATTTGCCTCTTACCTCCTGCTGTTACTCGCCTGCTCGTTCGCGTTAGTTCTCGCTATGGCGACTCCGCGAGTTCTTCGTTTCGACGCTGACGGTAGACCTCTTGACTTTTCCGTCTGGCTTCTTCGCGCTCGCCGTCTGTTAGAGAGTCAAGTCCAGGGGGGCGAGACCCTCTGGTCGCACGCTACTGGTGACCTCCCCGAGCCCCCCGAGCCTGCCGCTTTAGGTCCTGCCCCTGACGATGCTGCTACGGCTCGCTTTGCCCGTCAGCGCGCTGACAGGACGGCTTGGACGTCGCGTGACGCTGCGGCCTGCATCGCACTCAGCAGCCTCCTCCCTGAGTCAGAGGAGGTCCACTTCACTCAGGTTCGCACCGCTGCTGCGTACCTCACTGCGATTAAGGCCCGCTACTCTACTCCCGCTACTGTCTCTCTTGGCCGTCTTTTCCTCCCGTTCCTGTTTCCTGATCTCGCCTCGTTTGAGCGCTCTGCTGACTTGATCGCTCACCTCCGCTCGCTCGACGCTAGTTACCGCGCTGCTTGCACTGAGGCACAGCTTGCACTGCTTCCTCCCCCTATGGCGATTACTATCTATTTCATCGCCACTAGCCTCCCTGACCGCCTTGCCTCCGTTCGCGACGCGCTTCTGCTGAAGCACCCTAGTGAGCTCACCGTCGATGTCCTTGAGTCTACACTCAAGGACGTCGAGAGCAACCTTCGCTCGGTAGCCGCTGCCTCTGGTGCTGTGCCCCCCCCACTCTTCCACGGGTGCACAGTCCCGCAGTTACCCACCTTTACTGCCTCACTTGCCACTGCCGCTACTGACGCGACTGCAGCTGCTGTTACGACTGCGTCGCGGTCCCGCGGTAGGAGTGGCAAGAAAGGCGGTTCTGGTGGTGGTAGTGGAGGTGGAGGCGGAGGTAGTGGAGGTGGCGTTGCGCCTGGCGGCGGTGGAGGTTCAGGGCCTGGAGAGGCGCCTCGTGCAGTGACTGGTGACTCCACTGCGCCTGCTAGTGGTGGCGACGCCCGAGTTCGTCAGTCGCCTCCTGTACTTCCTGCCCCGGTTGGTGGAGCAGCGGCGTGGTACCAGGCTCAGCGTCAGCAGCAGCTTCTGCAGCACCAGCAGCCCCTCTCCTCCCAGCAGCCTCAGCAGCAGCAGCGGCAGCAGCTGGCTCCAGGGTCGGGGCTGCGTCAGACCCAGCGCGGTGCTGCTTACACTCCCTGCACCTACCAGGTTCTGACAGGCACTCGTCGTGGCCACCCTTGTGGCCGGTTTCACCCCCCTGGTCAGTGCTTTGCTCAGCTCACTGACACGGTTCGTTTGGTCTACGGGGTTGGTGCTCCTGCCCCTGACTGGCTGCCTCTTGTTCAGCGCTACGGCTCCGCTCTGTGGGGCATGTCTGCTGAGCAGTTAGTTGATCTGATTGGTACTCCCCATGCTATGTATGCTGTTGTTGACTCTAGTGTTTCTGACTCTGCTTACTCTGGTGTTGTTAGCTTAGGTGCTAGCCTTGCTCAGTTGCCTGTTGCTAGTGTAGGTTCTTGTGTAGACTCTAGTCCAGCGGCTACCTCAGAGGACGGTTCGCTGTCGTTCACGCTGGACTCTGGAGCCTCTCACTGCTTCTTTCGTGACAGCACGACACTTACGCCTCTTCCTGCGCCTGTTTCTGTGGCGCTGGCTGATCCCACTTCGGGACCAGTCACTGCGCGTCACACTACCACCTTGCCGTGTCCGGCTGCTCCTTCTGGGTCTCTCACTGGGTTTCACGTCCCCTCGTTCTCCCGGAACTTGGTGGGCGTGCGACCCCTCGTGAGTCAGCACGTGGGTGTGTGGTTTGAGCCTTCTGGAGAGACTGCGGTGTGTGTTGACGGGGACTCTTACCAGCCCCTCGCCACTTTTGCTGCTGAGCCGGGCTCCGGTCTCTACACTCTTCACACTGGCCCGCGCGCTCAGCAGCGACTGCAGCAGCAGCAGCAGCCGCAGCAGCAGCAGCGGCAGCAGCCGCAGCCGCAGCAGCAGCAGCGGCAGCAGCCGCAGCCGCAGCCACAGCGGCCGCCGTCGCAGCAGCCACTCCTCCCAGTTCCTGTCCCTCCCCCTAGTCTCCTCCCTGCGTCTCACCAGGTGGTTCCGTCCCCTCAGGTTGTCGCGTCCAGTCCAGTCGCTGCGTCTTGCTCCTGTCGGTCGCTTGCCCACCCCACCGTTCTGTGGCACCACCGGATGGGACACCCTTCTCTTCCACGTCTGCGTGCTATGTCTAGTCAGCGTCTGGTCTTAGGTCTCCCGCGTGTCTTGCCGTCGCTGCCGCCGTCCCTTGCACCACCGTGCGGTCCTTGCGTCGAGGGTAGGCTGCGTGCCACCCCTCACTCCTCCTCCCTTCGTCCGGCCACCGAGCCTTTTGAGACGCTGCACTTGGACGTCTGGGGCCCCTCTCCTCGCCCTGGCCCTGAGCGTGAGCGTTTCTTTTTGGTGGTCGTTGACGACTACTCCCGCTACACCACAGTGTTCCCCCTGGCGAGGAAGTCTGAGGTGACTTCTACGCTGATCAGGTGGTTGCTTACCACCCAGGACACTCGTGGTCGTCGTGTCAGCTGTCTCCACTCCGACCGCGGGGGCGAGTTTCGCTCCGGCATTCTCGCTGGATTCTGTCGCGAACAGGGCATTCGTCAGTCCTGGACGCTTCCGGAGTCCCCACAGCAGAATGGGGTTGCTGAGCGTCGCATAGGCCTGGTCATGGAGATTGCCCGCACCTCCTTGACTCACGCCCGTGCCCCCCATTTCCTGTGGCCATACGCAGTCAGGTACGCCGCGCACCAGCTGAACCTCTGGCCACGCGTCTCTCGGCCGGAGGCTTCACCGACCAGTCTTTGGACAGGGTCCCCTGGTGTCGCGTCGAGGTTTCGTGTCTGGGGGTGCTTGGCTCTTGTCCGCGACACCTCCGCGGACAAGCTCTCGCCTCGCGCCGTTCCTTGTGTCTTCCTTGGTTTCCCTGAGGACTCCTCTGACTTCACCTTTTACCACCCTCCCTCTCACCGGTTCTTTGACTCCCGTGACGTCCGTTTCGAGGAGTCCACCCCCTACTACGTCAGGTACCCCAGTCGAGGTCTCCCGGTTCCTCCTCCCCCCCTCTTCCTGACAGCCGCTCCCCCGCCTGCTCCCCCGGTACAGCCTCCCCCCCCTGGTCCAGCCCCGTCTGGTGTGTCTC